ATAATAACTTTTAATTTATAACATTTTGTATATTGTATGAGCACACTCTTTTAATCTTTTGAATAAATTTATTTAAATTATTTTTATCACTTTATATTTATATGTATATATACAATTTATGAATTCTTTTCTCTCTTTTAAAATTAATTTTTTTTTTGAATTTATTTTCTTTTTGATTTGAAAATTCGATTAAAATATTTTTTATTTAAAAAACCAAAAAAAATCTTATAATCCGGTAAAAGTTCATTTTATTTCAACGTTTAATTTATTTTATTTTAAATAATTTTATAAATCATATATGCGTATAGCGTTGCGATTGAGAACGAATGCGCGAGTTAATAAAAAAAAAAATTATGTTATTTTTCATATTTTTTTGTTTTTATTATTTTTTTATCTTTGAGATATTAAAAAACAAATATAAATAAAAAAGAAAAATTAAAAGAAAAAAAATATTGATAAAAAAAAATTATTTAAGATGTTTCTTGATCGCCACAATTTTTTCAACTAAACATTGATTGGCCATTTCACTTTGACTTTGGCCGTCATAGTAATCATCGTTGTATATATGGTCGTTATCTTAAAACAAGAGTTTAACACCAAATACCAGAAACTAAATAATATAATATCAACAACGTATGTACTAGACATTATGATTTTTGTGTTTTTTATCAATGTACATACGTATGTATGTATATATTATGCTATACTATATTATGGCCACAAATATAACATCATGTATAGTATGGGATAAAAACTATAATAAAAAATATATATGTATATGTATGTATGTATGATTGTAAATATATACATACATATATGAAAATTAATAAATAAATAAAAACATTGAGGAAAAAATATACATATATATATATATATATACAGTTGATGCGGCTGATGCTCTACCAACGTTTTAAGGATTACCATCTGTTCGAAAAGATTTTGTGATAACTATAATAAAAAGTACAGTATGACTCATCACATATAAACTATAAAAAAGCAATTAAACTTATTATCTAAACACTATCAAATGGAGAGTGGTTCTTCGAGAGAGAGAAAAAAAATCTGAATTCATTTTCAGTTAAATCTCTAGACCTATGAGATTGCATTACACTCACTCAAAATTTTAGTAAACTTAAATTTCTTTGTGTGTGAACATTTGAACCCCTTTGCTTCTAAGCCAATATAAATGAAATGAGTAAAGCATAAAAAGCAGAGCCTTGGACTTCTTTAAAAATTTTTTCAAAAATAATATGGAAATTATGTATAACACATCTATTGGGTCCTAATTACATTTAAATAATTAGTGAAGGTATGTGGAATAGTCGTAAATTTTTATTTCAACAGATGTTTTCAAAACGTTTGTTTATGGAAAATTAATGTAAAATGTTCTATTTAAATTTAAAGATTAACTTTTATTCCTGTATAATAAAATTTCTATTGTTATACCAGAATAACATACCAGGTAAAATATTCTACTTTTTTATTTAAATGAAACTTAAAGTAAGTGTTACATTTTTATAACCATATTTGAATCAAAAACAATTGGTAACCCTTTAACTTTTATAGTTGTACTCGTAATGAATGTATAGATTCTTTGATGCAAACCACCTATATGTATCCAACCATACAGCAATAATGCTTTATGAATTTATTTTCCCATATACGAAGTAGGTAAAGTAAAAATTGAAAAAAAAAAAAAAAACGAGTAAAAGAAAAATTTGTTAGTTTTGTTTTTTTAAACTGTTTTTCTTGTTTTTTTTTTTCTTTCTTTGTTACGGTCTTTATATTATTTTTGTTCTTCTTGTTTATATAAGCTTTTCTTATAAATGCTTTTGTTGCGGTTATGCTCGTAAGTAGATTTTAAATGTATGAAAAATAGTTGTTTGTTGGCATTTAATATTAAATTCTTATTGTTATTGTAGATTAAAATAGAGAGTTAGCCATCAGCAAATGTACACACATATGTTTATTATGCGATTAAAAATTTGTTAAATATAAAGTTGATTTTTTCAGTATAATTAATTAAATGTAACATGTAAAGAGTGGCCCATATTCATATTTGCTATATAGTATTTTATTTGAATTGGAATGATATTTTAGGAAAATGAAAAATTTAATATAAATTTTATGTTTTAATATTTGTTGAGCTACTTCACTTTCTTATCTCTAATGACAACTCATTCAAATGAGAGGAAATAAAACAGCATTTTATTTCAAAATTTCATGAAATAAAATTGTATTTGTAATGACACCTGATCCACCAAAGGTTGAGAAATCGAAAAATCTTCCTTGGCCAAAATCATCTATTAATGCATTCGCTTTCATAACTGCACCACCATGTTGTAAATGGGCTCATCAAAAGTGTATGCCTTCATTCAAACATTAATACCTAATTTATTCACTGCGTATACATACCATATGCAAGCGTAAATAAATTTTTATCTTCATTTCTATATTTAATAAAATTGATGACTTTGAATCAAAGAAAACCAAATTAAAAATTGACGTTTATTTAATTTCTATCCTGGTGTGTTTTCATTGAGGTCTACATACACACACATATTATATTATATTCGATTATCTTAAAAAGAATAAATATCGATTCAATTCACATTCAAAAATATTTTACACAATATTAATTTTTCAATGTTACCCATTTTGAATTTGATTAAACAAAAAAAAAAAAACAGAGTTTTCATTGTTTTTTTAATGTTGAACTTTATTAGATTTCCATGTACTCGCATAAAGATTAAAAGTTCTTTTAGTAGTATTTTTCAAAAGAGTTTTTGTTTCATTTTCCATTTTGTTTTCTTTCTTTTTTTTGCTATTTAAACTGATGTAGGTAAATTAAAATCTATAATTTGAATAAATTTATATAAAAGATATGAAATTCAATAGTATTGTCGAAATCTTTTTAAATGTTTTGTGAGATTTTCATGAATAAATTTATGGTAATAAAGTAATACGCTTTAAAAATAATAAAATGTCATAGATCAAAAAATAAATAGGAGAATAGAAAAGGCGATGGTTAGGTGTTATTAAAATTTTAAAAAAACTTATAAATTTTATTGTTATTTTAAATATTGTAAAAAAATTGATATTAATAGCAAGTCGAAACCAAACGATTAACTGCATAAATTACAGCGAAATACACTGAAATCATAAATAAAACTTGTAATTAAAAATACTATCATAATTATGTAAAAATTTCAAATCAGGAAAACAAACATAAAGGAAAAACATGTAGATCATAATATATTACTTTGATAGCTCAAGCCCAATTCAGTCATTTCGTACATTTCGTACCCAAAAATTGAACAAAATGTATAAAAAAATGTTTTCATTATGAGATATGGTCATGTCAATTCAATACTTCACGATAAGAACGATAAGGTGTGTGATATAAAAATTTTTAGTAATTTTATTTCATAATTTTCAATTTTATTTAGATAAAAGCAAACATACTAATGTCTAGACAATTCATATTTTATACTATTCACAAGAATACTAAATTGTATAACTTACCTCCAGTTTTTCTTCCAAATTTTTAAGAATTTCAATTATTAGAATACTAAAATTATTAAAATACTAGGCAATTATTTTACATTTTTCAAAAATTTTCCAATAACTCAAAAAGAGGATATTGCATTTCGCATAAACTAAAAATTTAAATTCCAAATTATTTGACAATTAAAATTTTTTATTAAATTAAAATATTTTTTGTAGTTATCAAATAACGAAAACGAAGTGTCTCAATTACTCATAAAAACAAAAAAAAAATCTAATTAAAAATAACTTATCCAGCTTTTTTATGCGTTTAAGTCATTAATTAAAGAAAAAAATTTTAATTGCATTTTTTTCTGAAATTCTCATATATTTTTGTTTTTTAATTTAATTTTTATGATTTTATAAATTTCTATTTCAATGAAAAAATTATCAGGAAAAAGAAAAAAATAACAATTATAATATTTTCTTTCTAATCAAGGAAATTGAAAATTGTACAAGTGAAAATATGCTTTGCAGTTGATGGTAATAATTCATTGTGACTCTTGTCGAAATTAAGAAAAAAAAGAATCTAACAACTGTGAGAAGAAGTAAAGTGCTCAATCAACATATTCTATAATTATCAAATTTAAATTATACAAGCTATATGCAATTTTTATGCAATTTCAAAGTGGCAATCAAATTAAAAGTAAGTGCTTTTGGCATAAACAGTGAAAGGCTATTGCGATTCTGCAAAAATATAATAGAAAAAAAAAATTGTTTTAAAATGTATTCAACTCGCATGGTATTAAAATAATATTCGTCTGCATAAAAATATTTTTACGATATTAATTCTCATAATAAGGTGAATAAAAGTTTTACAATATAACAACTTTCTTTAAAATACAATAGTTCTAAATTTCTTTAAAAAGAATGTGGAAGTGTGAAGAAAATCTTTTAGATATTAAACGGCTCAGTGATAATTTAACTTTGTTCCATAAGTAATTATGGCTTAACTTGATTATATGTATATATAAATTCCAATATATGCGATTCATTTAATTGTGCTTTAGTGTTATATAGAATAGATAGTTTGCTCAATTATATATCGTGTTTATGGTAAAAATTAAATTAGTGCTATTTAAAAACTAAGAAAAAAGATATTTTGAAAATAAATGCATATTAATATATTAATCATATTGCAGATGTAACTAATTTTTGTGTATGTTAAAAAAGTATGCAATTTTATTTAACAAAAATTTTATATAAAACATTTGTTCGCCTAAATATAGGCAAAATTTATAATAAATTTAACAATAAAATCCAACAATAAATCATAAAATTTCATAAATAATATTCAGTTAAAACCACATTAGTAAACATGTATGTATATGTATAAATATAAAAACAATATCGTAAATGAAATTGTACACTTTCTTGTATGAGGATTGTAATATTTAAATAGTTTCTCGACTAAAATTCATTTCCATATATATTATAATTTCTATTTGACTTACCTTTCTGAATTCTTGACAGAATAATTGAACCATTTGTTGTATTGCTGGTGCTCTTATTGCATGTAATGTCAAACGATTACCGTTTCTCATATTTAATTGTAATGCAGCTGGTCTTGGTAATGTTATAGCTCCTTGTAATTCTGCAAATGGCAACGATCTTACAACAATTAGATATTCAGCATCACGTCTAGCTAAATATACTCCATTATGTGATATGGCCAATATTGAAACATCAGGAAATTGTGGAGCACCATTGACAGTAAATAAACGTGCAAAATATAACGGCCAACTTCTTGCCATGTCTATTAGGTGTCTTTTAACAATAGCTCTTACCTGCCCTCTTAAATTTTCTTCATTAACACCATGTCCATTTAACAAATTTATAGCATTTCTTCGTTCTTGAGGTGAAATTCTTAAACAAGATGTTAAACAAAAAACATCTGATGCTATCTGTATAAATAATAAATCGAGTGCAATAGGAGGTCCAATTGGTTCACTTGGATGAAAAACTTCTTTACGAATACGAAGTTTCCATAATACACGATTATATGTTAAGCATGCATTAGCTGGGGCTTTTAATGATGGTGGAGCAGGAACTGGTGCTGGTATTATGGGTACTGGCCATTCATCAGCAACATCAGTTTCATCATGTTTTTCTGTACTAGCTGAAATTAATGTTGAAGCTGATGTTTTTCGTTCTCGCTCCTTGGCATATTTTTGTGCCATATGCGTTTTAAATGTGGCACGATCACTCGAAGTTATTTGACTGGACGTAGACTTTCTCTGATGATCTCTGTCACGTTCCCGTTCTCTTTCACGTTCACGTTCTCGGTCACGATGTAATTCATTTTCTCTCTCACGTTCTCTTTCTATTTCGCGTTCTCTTTCGCGTTCTCTTTCACGTTCTCTTTCGCGATCTCTTTCTCGCTCGCGTTCTCGATCACGCTGTCTATCTAATTCTCTTTCTCGTTGTCGCTCTAATTCACGTTCTCTTTCTCGTTCGCGTTCCATATGTGCTTGCGTGACTTTTGGCGGTGCTGGCTGATATACTTTATTGCTTTCTTTTTCTCTCTCAACTTGTCGTATTTCATATATCCGGTCACGTTTTTCTCGTTCTTTTTCTCGTTCTCTGTCACTACCACTTGAAGCAGGACCTTCAACTTCCGATCGATCCCATACAGATTCAGAAAAATTTTCTCGATCTCTTGATCTAGATCTAGATCTTGAACGATCTCTATCAATAGTAATTTCCTTCTTGAAACTGGTTTCATATACCATATCTAATTTTGCAGCTTCAGCTCTCCCCCATGAATCATATGTGTCTTTTGATATATCTGATCCATTCCATTGATGACGAACGCCAAATGTATCCCTTTCTTGACGTTGGACAAAAGCAGGAATATCTTGCTTTTGATAGTCTATATCAATTTCAGTATGGCGCATTTGTCTTGTTACAATCATATTAGATTTACTTTGGGGTGGTGAATTAGGTGGTCTTATAGGTGGTGGTGGAGCTGGACCTGATGGAGCCGGTGGAATAACTGCTGGCCAAGGGGGTGGAGGCGGACGATTGCCAGCTTCCATTCTTTCAATTTGCAATCTTACAGAAGTGTGATCTTCGCTTCCATTCATAAAACCTCCACTAAGTTGTTGTTGTAACATAAGTTTTCGCGTTTCTTCTAGTTTTGTAGGGGCTCTTTGTTCCGATCTGGTGCTTACGGTTGATCTAACAGAATGTCCAGCGGTAACTTGTTCTAGCCTTTGCCGCATTTCGGAACTTAACTTTAATTTTCCAACACTACCAGGAGCTGGGCGTTCAGCTCCAATATCAAAGCTTCTTTTATTTGATTTTATGACAACTGGAATTACTGGCTCAGACTCTTTTCTTGTAGGTGATTCCATTTTATTTTGTTTACGAATTGGACCTGTTGGTTGATGTGTGATTGGCACAATTTTACTGTGTTCTACTTCAAATTCTTCCCATTCTACTGTTGAACCATTTGGAGATCCTGCACTACTATGGTTTTGTGATTGTGGAGTACTCTTGCGTTGATTTTGTCTCATTTTGAACAGCATGAAATTTTCTTCTTCTGTTAACTCAGTTTGACTATCTTGTGGAGGAGGCCATCTCCATTTACCAATACGTACTGTTTTCGCTCGTCCATATGGATCTAAAAATGGTCTTGCTTCTGAAGGGTCTTTGAATTCCAAAGGAGGAGGCATTGGAGGAGGTGGTGGCGGTGGTATGAGACTGCCACCACTATCTGAAGAGGCTTTGCGATTTCGATCTGGTTCCGTGAACTGAGAATTTCTGCTCTTGAAGCTTTGTTTTCGCGGCGCAGCTGATGATGAGGTTTCTAAATGAATTCGCGTTGTACTCGTTTGTGACATCGACACACCTGTTGGGGACACTGGAGCTAGTGGTGGTGTTTCCTGCTGGCTTAATAAAGTTTGCAATGCTTGATTTTGTGCTAGGAGTTGTTGTTGAATTTGTAAATTCTGTGCCATTGCTGATTGCAAAAACGCTCTCTGAATTTGTGTTTGATAAGCCGGATCACTTGATGTTGGGAGATTTATAATTTGTGATAAATTGTCTTGACTAACATTTCCCATCATCAATAAGGGATTTGTTGTGATAGGCGAAAGCGGTGACATAACTGAAGTGTTGGATCCAAATCCATTTCCATTAGTATTTTGATGTGTAGTTCCACCACCTTTTATGACGTCAGTTAAAACTGTTTTTGCCGCTAAGTTATCGATTGATTCATCAATTGATATTGTTTCCATTAATTCTGAAATATATTGATCTATCGTTCCAGCTTCTTTGTTGAAAATTTCATCTTTTTTATCACCTCCACCTTTGATAGATTTAGATAAAATGTTTGCATTATTTAGGTTACTGATGCAAGAATCCATTAATGGTGCTAGCATAAATCCTTCACTTTCGAAATTAATAGTTCCACCGCCACGAATACTAGCGGCCAAAGACCTTGCATCTGAAAGTTCATCTAGCGATCCATCTAATACAGGGCTAAATAAGTCATCTAAAAATTGATCAACATCAGATGCTTGAGATGGCACGCGTACTCTTCTTACATGACTAGCCAATGAGGGAGCTTCACTTGTATCAGACATTGCTGATGATCGTGTTTGATATTCAGATTTGTCCATTTGTCCATATTTACTGGAGTGAGAACCACCATGGGATCTTTTTCCGGCATATTGTGATTTTTGAAATCGTGGAGTTGATTCTTTCGGGTTGAGTGGTGCTAAACGCTCTGCTGAATGATACCGTTCATTTAATCGACTTTGAGAAAGACCAAGTTTAACAAGAGGTTGTGGCTCAGGATTGGCCATTATTTCAGGCCCATCTCCCGACAGTAGGTCATCTAAAGATCTTGATCGGGTTTTTTCTGTTTCAAAATACCTTTCATTTAATGCAGAACTTCTAGATAACAAATCGTGAGAAGTTTTACGAGAAGGGCCTTCTGCGTATGGTCGTTGGAATTCCATTTTCTTTTCTACATGAGGTTGCGGTATTGGTGCTTCTAATTTTGGAGTGGGTGTTTTTGATTGTGGTGGTTCTGGTGGAGGAACTTGCGGTCTTTTAGGGCTACTAGGCTCAGAATCATTACCTAGAGTTTGAGATGATTTTCTGCCTGATCTTAATAAATCGCTGCGACCGGCTGGAAACGCTGGACATAATTCCTTTTCTGCTAACAAATCTAGTACAAAATCTAAACCGCAAGAATCCGTTATTTGTCCAGCGTCGTCGAGTACTACAGTCCATCCTTGATTTGGAATCCCCAAAGTCGAAACAGCTAGCGATGCCGCCTCTTCACATGTTGTCCAAGAATCAATCGCTACAGTTTGGGTTAAATCATCAGGCATAGTTAATGCTACGGCAATATCTGACAGTTTTTGGGTAGCTCGCCATTCAATCCAAGATGGCGGGAATGATCTGCAAGGGGACGATTGGTAATTTCCTGTATTTCTAAGTAACTTTTTCAAAAGAAGTTCCTTCATCGAAGATGGAGCATTTTCTATGATAAACTTCATCAAGTATTTACTAAATGCGGATCCGGGTTGAAAACAAGATAAGCATTGAGCCATTAATTGCCAAATTCTGAAAGCTTGTGCTTCTTCAGCTCTATAAACTTGGTTACATAATTGAACTAATATTTCATCTCTTAAACCTCTAGAAGCTAGACCTTTATGAACTATATAATCTGCTAAAATTTTTTCTTTGTTGTTATCCATTGATGTGTCATTAGCCCATCTCAAAATTAATTTGAAAACGGCAATAGAATCTTGAAAATCTTGATCTCTGCTGGCAGCACGAGACAAAAATGGTGATACTATCGGCTCTCTTTTAGGGGAAAGTTTCAACCCGTTACAATAAACTGAACTAAATTTTCCAAAACCAAATTGATCTAAATCCTTTGGTAAATCTCCAGCAATTGGGGGGCCCGGAACTGTACCAACCACTTTTACTAAATGACGATCTCCATGTATTGGAGTCCATCCTTCTAATTTAGAAACAATAAAAGCAAGCTCTGCTGGTATGTCTAGAAAAGCAATATGAGTTCTTTCTTGCTCCTTAGCCAATTTTTTAGCCTCTCTTTCTTTAGCTGCTTTTTGCGCTTCCAATCGCCTTTTCAAGTCAGCTTTCATTTTGTGATAACGTTTACGTTGTAATTTTCCTCTCCACAATGATTGAGCTTTAACTGTAGCTTTTCGTAAACGATGGAAGCTCTTTTTGTGTTTATGAGCTCTCCATACTGATTGAATTTTAGTTGCTGCTTTTTTCTGTCTATTTAACTTCTTCCGTACAAGCATACCACGTACATTTTTTTGTATTATAACGGCCGCGTTCTTTTGCCGATCAGATCTCCCGCCTTCCAACATTCTGTGCAATGCTTCTCTCAAGAACACTCTAGTTGCTCCAAGTTGGAAGTCTGGGCCTTCTACTCCAGTTTTCGGAAGAGTTTCAAGCATTGATCTGCATAGTTCTCTATATGGAGTTCCTCTGGGCAAGGCTCCTTTCATTAAGTGGCGATACCTTTCAACAAAATGTTGAAATCGTAGTCGAACTGGATAACCTTTTTGTCTAATTTGGATTGTATCTAACATTCCAAGATAGCGGAGTTGTTGCAATACACAAGGCATATCCATTTTAAGAGCTTGTTTATCATTGTTAGGCTTAATGCAACGGACAAACCACGGATTGCATCTCCCCATCGATTGCAATAACTGTTGAAGTGAGTCTGAAAATCTTGCAGCTACAGTAGGAGTTCTTGGTTTCATAGTTACGAATCGTCCATTGTTTCCTTTTGGCAATGATTTCCCGAATTCTCTTTGAGCACGTAATTGTTTTGTCATTTCCTCTACCAGTGGCAGTTTGCTTGTACTTAAAAGCTCCAAGACATCAGGTCGTAAAGCATCTCTGTTTTTATCTAAAAAACTTTCAACACAATACCAAACTTGACCTGCGTAATGTGTTATACCAAATTCTTGAGCACCAATTCTTGGTCTTGAATATAATTCGTTTAGAGCATGGTTGTAATGACATTTTTCTAAAAAGCTCATGTCGCTTGCTCTTGGAAAATTGGATTCATCGTCAAGAAGATGAAATATTCCAACCGGTTTCTTTGCTAATAAGTGAATAACCGGCAAATTATCTTCCCATGTTAAAGGTGTCCACTCAAGTCTTTCTCTCGCATACTCTGCTTGTTCTAATTTAAAGACATGCTTGTTAAAATAAAGTTGTAAGTTTTCATTAGCATAATTAATACAAAGTTGTTCGAATGAATTTTCAGCTAAATCTTCAAATCCAAATATATCTAAAATTGATATCCGATGAGCGTCATGAGTTCCACCTTTATGCACAATTGAATTTACCCTTGAAACCAACCAATTGAAAAGCCCTGAATAAAGCGATTTAGCAAATGCATCACGGCAATCTAATGCTTGATCTATTCCTAAAGGTGTATGTAATCGTTCAGATCTTGCTTCTGTTATTCTTGTTGTTAACGAACGATGTAAACCTTCAGCAGAAATATGTAATAAATGTGCTGCCCATTTTATTTCAGCGTCTGAACCAACTTCAACGCCTTCTTGACCATGACGTAACTGACGTCTGTGAAAATACACATTACCTAAATGTAAAACTGATGCTAAAACACGAACTATCCCTTCACGTTCATTCTCTGAAACTCCAAGAACTTGCATAGCGCCTTGTAAGGATTCCCAATCTACACGTCCTGGAGCACAATCTGAGCCGCCTTGATTTAAATAAAAATATTTATCAGCATCTAGCAAACCATATTTTGTTCTTTCTGCTTCAGCTAAACCACCAAGCATTTCATAAAAAACATGATAATTACGCTCACCCGGGGCTTGTGTTATAATCCGAGATTTTTCTAATAGATATTGTGTTATTTTTGCTCCAACAATTGCACCCGATTTAAAATATACTTCTAAATATTTTCCAAATCTCGAGCTATTATCATTACGTGCTGTTCTTGCATTTCCAAATGCTTCTAGTAATGGTGCTGCTTCTAATATTTGTTCTGTTATAACAGCTGATGCAGAACCGCCCCCTGGTACAACAGCAGCTAAATATTGCATTACTAATTTTGTTGATTCAGTTTTGCCAGCACCTGATTCCCCCGAGATAACAACAACTTGAGGTGATGGTAGTGCAGCATGTGCTGCAGCTCCAATCGCAAATAAATGTGGTGATAATGCACCAATCGGCTTTCCAGCATATTGCTTTGCTATTTCAATACCATATGATTCAGGAAACATTTTATATGGATTTACAGCTATTAATATACTTCCAGCAAATGTATATATTAATCCTTTATCATAACGTAGTCTTAAATTCCATAATAAAGATGCTTCGTGTAAATCTTCAAGTTGTGTCATATCTTCAACTCCAGTACTACCTAAATCCTGACGTGGTCTCAAACTTCCTTCACCAGGTTGTAATGTAAATGTTTGTGGCTAAAATTAAAAAAAAGAAAACAAATAATAATATTTTACCTATAATTTGAATTTTAATGTTTACAAAGTAATAAAAAATTTTTAAATAAAACAAGGAAAATTTTAAATTGTTGTTAAACAATTGGAATGCCTCGATTGACATATAAATTAAATTAAATATAAAATAATTTTATTTAACAAATGCTAACATTTCGAGCGATAATATCACTGCATAATGTTGATAATTTTTTAACAACTTGTGGATAACGATGTCTTCTTCTTTCCCTTAATCGCCTCTGTTTTTCATCTTTACTTAATTTCTCCATTGATGAAAAATCTTCAATACTAGCTGGTCTCTGACGTCTTAAAACTTTTGGTGATAAAATTAAAAATGTTGTTGGTGATGGTACCGGTGTCGGACTGCATGAACCACGTTTTTGCCATGGTTCAAATTGAAAGCGTACTATACGCATTAAGGTTTTATGAAGTTTAAATCAAATGTGTGTAAATAATTTAATCATTTCTTTTTAAAAACCAATTGAATGAAATTTATTTATTTCGTATAACTAACAGTAAGAAAACAATCGCTGCGCGTCTTTAAATTATTGTCCTGTTTTTTTCTAATTTAATTTTCAAATAATTTTTAAAAACTTTTCAAATTCGTTTCTATAATTGCCCCACTCTAAAGTTTTGTGTTTTTTTTTTTATCCTAAATTTCGTTATATTTTTTAATCCTTATTGTAGTTTTCTTTATTAAAAAACAAAAAAGCTTTAACAAGTTTTTCATCAATTCTATTTGGCTATCACTATGTTTTTTTTTTTTAATTAAAAACTTTATTTCGAATACAGCGTGTAAGCAAGTTTTTATGCGATCATTATTATTATTTTTATTATTATCATTATTAAAAAAAATTGTTAAGCGTATCGGAATATTTTAATAATTTAAGTATTTCACAGAGTAAATGTTATAAAGATCAAATTCAATGGAAAACTGAAGTATGTAAGTAGTTTTACTTTTCAAACGTACATAATTTAAAAGAAAAACGAAAAAAAAAAAACAATTGTAGAAAAGCGTTTACATAGATCACCACAATTGAGTATATATGAAAATTATTATTTCTTTTTCTTTAAATGCGTTTGTCCAATTGCAAATTTAAACTGATTAAATGGAAATAAATACACTCTTATGATTAACTAATACTTGTTGGTGAATCTTTGTTTAACAAAATATAGAATATTACACTATAGAAAATAACGCTCAGCATTAATATTACATTTGGATCACTGAATAAGAAAAAATAAAATTATTTTTTCGAATATAACCAAATGCAATTCTGGCTTATAAAACAATTGTACGTGCATATAAATTGAAAGTATGTAATATTCATTAAAAATTTTAACTGTATATAATATCAAAATAAACTTTAACTGTTTCATATATTACTTTCTGCTTATATGCATATGATATTTTCATAAAGAAAACGCATAAGTGCTTGCTTGCTAACCGTAGAATATAATAGATCTTGAAATGGTGATATTTAAAGAAAAAAGCTGAACTTGAAAATTTTCGCTTATATCAATTTTATTATATATATATATTTTATTCATATTTGTGTATTATGTTTAATCGTATTAGTTTGTACATACGATATAAATGGATAATATTACGAACAAAAGCAATAATAACGTTGTTTAAACTGGTCCAGTCCAACTTCAATTTTTTTTATTGTGACTTTTGCCTGGTTATTTTATATTTGAATTTGATGTGCAAAATGTTTGCTTGTTTTGTTCTTTTTTCTTTATATGTATATATTATTGAAACATTGTAAGTTCGAGTATGAGAAAAAATAAATATTCAATTATAAGTATATATTTTTACGTATCGAAGGCTTACTGAAGACTAAACTGTTAGTAAAATTACTAAATTGAAATTTCTAGACTCCTTTTTAAGTGAGTTAAAAATAATTTTCTATATTTTTCTCCTCATATTTTTTTTTTAACTATTATTGAATGTCGTACATCATTGATACTTTGTTTGTGTATTTTATGCTTTTTTTTTGTTATTTTTTTAACTCTTGGAAAAGCTTGTTTTTCCAGATACAAAATGTTGTGAAAATGTACACAAATTTTCTAAAAATGATCATAAAACAAAAGCAAAAGAAAAATCAGATCGGGTTTTTCAATTTAATTTTTTTTTTTTTCAGTCACTCTTTTTCTCTCCGGACCAAACACAAAACAAAAAAAAAAAAAGCAGTTCAATTTTTTTTTTCTATGAAGGAAGACTCGATTTAATAAAACCGTTTTGCTAGTTTTTATCTTACGGTATCATCAAGTTTTCAATTTTTTTTTTGTGTTTTAGTTTTTACTTTTATTTCTTTTTGTTTTAATTTTAATGAATGCGTTTGGTTTATATTCTAACATTTGAACTTCAATGTCTTTTTTTTTTTTTGTAAATTTATTAAAATGTATGTGTATCACTTTACATTTTATATATGTAAACCATTTGTTATTTTATTTATTGCGGTGCTCATAATGATAGCTCTGAGGAGTCTGAAGAGTGAAAAAGTGTATAAAGAGTGGAAACGTTTTAATAAACCACGAAAAAATTGAAAATAGTTTAAACATAGTGATAATTAAATAATGGAGCTGAAGCATTATCACATTTTGACAATATTGCGGAAAATAAATAAAACTTTAAATTTCTTTCAAAATAATAGATCGTTTTTTCTATAATTGTCCCACTCTGAAGTTTTGTGTTTTTTTTTATATATGGAAATACATTCGTCCTTAAAGGTTGTCTTTCTATAATAATTGAAAGAAAATTATTGCAAAATAAATTTTGGTCTACAACTTCTGTTCTCCCTAAATAGTTTTGGCATTACTTCGTCTTTTGTTACAGATTTTTCATTATAACATTACATTTATTCCACTCTGTATTGTATCACATCAAATATAATATGGAGAGATATTGGAGAGATATTGAAAATATTATATGTATAAATAGCGAAAGCTGAATAATTATAAATCAACTTTTTTTTTCATTAATTAACTTAATTAATACCAAATAGAAGATGTTGAATATTAAAATAATTCAAAAGAAATAAAAAGTTAAACAATATGAAAAGAAAATAAATTTTAATCGGTTTTAAGGATTTGTTGGATAATTATTTGGACAAGGACAATTTACTCGTACTTTAATTACTTAAAAAAGTATGATATTAAAAGGTTGAATCCAATTTACGTGTGAAGCATCAAAAAGAAAATCTTCTGCCTTTACAGAATTTATACTTGTATTGTTGTTCAGAATCAAATTCTAGGCAATTTCGTTACATCCGTCTGCCTGAATGCTTATTTACACACTTGTTTTTAAGCTACAGAAAGTCTCGGATATGCTTATTTCGCTTACAGTTCAATATTACAAATGAGAAAGATTGCGACGCTAAAGTAAATACCTTGCATTATTACTTTTACGCTTTTTTTTGGAAAAAAATTGTAGTAATAAAGAAAGTTCTTTTGAAATAAGCGGGTATTATACTGATAATGTCACTCTCAATTAAGTTTTTTCGAATAAATTTTTGTAACACTTTCTTATTACCATAATATTTAAATTTCCAAAGTTCGGAAAATATTTGTAAAATTATGAGTTTTCATTAATTTTTTTCCGTTTTTTCTCATTTCTAAATATTCACTCTCGCTCTTATTTCTTTTATCTTCCTCAATTTTTTTCTACTTAATTTTAAAGAAAAGTGAATTGTAAATATTTTTAATTTGCATTTGCTATTAGACTGTTAAATTTTACCGGATCAAACTAACATCTTCGTGTACAAATTTACCTGATTGTTAAAAAAATTTTTTAAATACGGAAATGCTATCATATAGGGTAAAATTCGTTTCAGATATTGCATAATATAATACAACATCTTTACAATTGTAATTATAAACTCATTTTTAATTCAAACTTTTACAATATGTTTGTTGTATTAAAATATTGCATGTGTTTTTAAAATATTGTTACGCTATCATAATTTCTTTTACGACTATACGATTATCGTGAAGTATAATGACTAAGAACTGATAACGTTCCAAATTAATAAACAACTTAAGAAATATTATATAAGATTTCATAAAATTGTTTAATTATTTTAACGTTTGCTCAAAATCAATATATATATGATTTATTTTATTACTGTTGGGAGATGCGTTGAATATAATTTAAAATTCTGTACAGAATTTGTTATTCCATCCTGTATACATCCCATAATGTAAGTTTACTCTAAAGGGAGTAGCTTAAAAGTTTAGTCCAAGTTCTTTTAGTAAGAAAAAATTGAGAGAGTTCCTTTTTATTTTACTGCAAAATGAATTTCAAGTCAAACGAGAAAGACAACCATATTAAACATTTTTGCGCAGATGCAACAAACATAACACCGAGAGGTATGAATGAAATTTATTTAATAAATACATAAGTAAATGCAAGTATTCCATAATTATTGTCGAACATTTTTACCCTTTCAAGTATGATTCTAGCCAGACACCATTACTATAATATTGGTTCATACAAAATAATTTAATATTATTATTCATTACGCATTTTTGTTGTTGTTTCGCAACATTTTTAATCAATATTATATAGTAATAATAAATTACTTTTATAGCCTTAAGGTAATATTGAATAAAATTCGATATACCAAATTAAAAACGATTTTTTCATTTTGTTTTATAGTTTTCTAATTACAAGAGAGGAAAAAAAATCAATTCATTAGCTTAGTATAGCGAAAAAATTTTTTATTTTATTTATTTTTCATTTAACATAAGTATATGTAATGTTACAAGTTACAACACCTGTATTACCTGTCGAATAGTTGTTTTTTTTTGTAGCAAGTATGAATTAAATCAGAATTCAATATGCATGCATTCATTAAAAAAAAAAAAAATTTTTTTTCCAACTATTCATTTTAATTTGAGTCGCACCCGTAAAATTATAATATTAAAAAAAAATTGCAAATTATTTTGTGTTTTTAATAAATTCGGCAATAAATTGTGAATTTAAATCGAATACTCAAACTATTTAAATAATTTTTTTCAATTTTTGTAATTGACCAGTTCTGATTATAAAACTTCAATTTTATATGGGGTATTTTTTGATATTGCAGATTACGTGCTTGCGGTAACAATGCTTCACGTTCTACATAGGTTACAGTCGTAAACCGGTCAACGCTGCACCTAATTCTCTTAAGTTGCGCTTAACTACTCCTATAATCTCCTTAAATATTTTTTCTTATAAGATACTTGGCGTCTCAAAGTCTTAAAAGATTTCTCCAACACTACTACGCGTTCTTTTTGGTTTTTTTTCCCAAGCTCTATTCTTAATGCAGTACAATTAGTGTCTTTTTTTTCAGTGGTTTGATTCCTCAGAAACTGTGCAAAATCCCTTTCTATATATCTATCATTTGATTTCTATTTCCACTTTCATATTATGGTACCAAACAAAATTTTTTCCGAATGCAAATATTATCTTACTTATAAAACCTCTTGAGAAAAAAACTGATGAAAACAGATACACAAAATATCAGTTTTTGTTTTTTCACATGAACTTGTGGTTTTTTTCTGTTAAAATATTGCATACTATTTCAACGGGTGCAAAAATTATTATGTATTGTAATATAAGTATAATGAATTCGTGTACAATGCTGTAACATAAGATGCCTAAATTAATGTGTGTATGTAAAATTTAATCTTAATTGACCTTGTCTAAACCGCAATTTCTGCATTCCAAATGTGTTTTTGGATATAACAAAGAAAAATATATAGGGAAAATCTGCAATATATTTTTTTGCACTTTGTATAACTAAAATACAACATATATACACATTTATAGATATTTGAAGATACTTTACGAATATTATTTAAACTGTTATAATCCCATGAAATTACACAAATTCTTAAAATATTTTAAATAGTCGTTAAATTACAGCTTTATGGGAACAACTTTTAATTGCAATATAGTTATATTAAGGAGGTCAATAAGAACTTATGATTATTTAATTTAAACTTAACTTTAGATAATCAAGAATTTTAGTCATTAATTTGAGCATCCTTTATATTGTATATTATAATGTAATATTATTGTAATATTATGGGCGTTCCGTAATATTAACAAATTCAGGCAAAGAATCTAAAAGTAAATCTACTCCATTTAGCAGCTATTTTATTATCTGCGACTGAGAATTATTAATAGTCATATTTTTGAATTTAGAAATGATGTTTATATAAAGTTATAATAGTACAATGAATAGTAGCAAATTTTTTGAAATAATTTTTAAATACATATGTATAAACTAGTTGGTAACAACATTTTTTTTTAATTTATTTTCTTTTGTTACGCCTAAAATCTTCGATATTTCAAATCTTTATGCTTTTCTTAATCCTTTATTAGTAAGAATCGACATTTTATTAAATAATCTTAAAACATTTATATCATAGATGGAGCATAAAGTGACCACATATCCAAAATGTTGAAATGACGGAGAAAATAAGTAAAAACAAATTATAAGCAAATTTTTTAAAAAAACATGGCAAGTCGTCAACCTTTATTTATAAAATGGCACCCTTACCCCTAACAATTAAATTTTAGTGCTCCTATATTAACACATTTTTAGGTCGTCGTAATTATTATTAACATGAAGTTACTAATGCCAGTGAAACATCAATTCCACATACCGTTAAATTTTAAAGTTGAATTCGACCGCATAGCATTTATTTTGAATAATTTTTGACATTTCTGTGTTTACAGAATTTTCAAATAACTGTTGATTTGGACAAACTAGTATGTCAAAAAAATTTCATTTCCACGATTTTAAAGAACTAAGACATGCAGGGCAGGGGCGATACAAAAAAATATTCCCATTTTGAACGATATAGAAATTTTCCAAATGCAGGGTGAAAATAATAGAGACATTTTTTTTTTAATTTTTTTGAAAATGTGCCCAAAAATATTGGTATTCTTTCGTTTTTAGAGTATAATATGAATTATTTCCTAATTACAGAAGCGAATTGCTACTGTCACAGTTGTAATACTGGGATATCCCAATGCATTCATGGTTTTATTTCGATAAAATTTTAATTTTATCTTTAATTTTTTAATGTAAAACAAATATGCACATACATACATATGTTATGTATATATCACTTCACATACACCACAAAAGTAGAATACGTTCGGTAAAAAGGCAACAAATGGTCACCCTAATTTTATAGAGAAAAAAACAAGTTATATAATATTAATATTATTACATATTTTTTTTTTATTGAACTTCGTTCAAAAGTGAAGAAGATCAAATTGATTCAATTTAAATTTTACAAAAAACAAAAAAAAAAAACAAATAAACAAAAAAATTGGAAAAATAAAACGAAAACATTTTTGCATTGCTGCCATACCGGAATTTGAAACCCGGAAAATATTATTCTACATAACATAACCTTACGATTTTCAAAACATCAGTTCAAGAAGGAAAAATTAATTTTTTTTTGTTTTTAATTTCTTATATAAGACTTAAACACGCAAATGTAATTATAACTTAAAATGATTACTTTCGAACTTTTGTTACTTTTAATGCAATTTTTTATTTTCTGTCTGAACTCAATCGTTTCAGAGAGGGAGAAAAACAACAAAAGAAAAATTTTTGTTCTTGTAAATTGTGCAATAATCACAAATTTTCCTTTTTTTTGTTGTTGTTTTTTTATGTAATATAAGAAATTCAAAAGAAAAAAAAATAATATAGAAAAAGAAAATCTAAAATAAAACGAAAACAGTTAATTAACCGTGTATGTTCTATAAAATTCAACACTTGTATACACAGTGTGTCAGTATGTGTTATATATGCTTAGTAAATTTTAACTTATATAACATCGCTTTATGCATATAATTTGTTGGATAGTTAAAGTATTTATATGGTCTTATATATGTATGTGTAAAATATATGTTCGTGCGATGATGTGAATATGTGGTATTGAGTATCACATTCGTGTTAAGGCCATAGAAATATTCAAAGATGTTTTGTATTTTATAGTTTCTTTTCTTCAGTTTTTAATCTTTTTGACCGTAAACATAAAAAAAAGAACCTAAAAAATAACTTGTTATTCAAATGCAATGTAAATCTATAAGGTTTCAAGTAAAAATAGCCAAAGCCATTGAAAAAATCTAATTCTCTTTGGATAATAAAAATGTACACATACATCCATACGTAGTGTGTTTCTGTTATCAAAAATAATCTTAGATCGCGCATACAAAATCTTAAAATTATTAAAAAACTTATACATATAAAAACTTTAAATTCTATAATATTTCTTGAATTCTGCAATATTTCTCGAGAGTTTGCTATTCCATATATATATACAATATACAATCAGATTAAACAAAAGGAGCTTCAAAAAATTAAATAATTAAGAGACTTATCAAGAAGAGTCATCATTTTAAAATTCTCTTCAGGCAATCGACATCGATCTGGTTTTAAGCAAAATGATTTTAAAGTTTGAAAAGTATTTATTCAAAAACGATGCGTTTTTAATTCGTTGGCTGTAAAATTTCGAAGTTGTAAAAAAGTTTTGCTCTCAAAGACCCAAATTTTTTGTATTAAAGACAATCCAGTACATTTTGACCCATTAAATGCAAAAATATTAAATTTTACCATTTCAATTTTTTAATTTATTTTAATTTTAATGACTTAATTAACGATTGCTTAATTAAAAATAGTTAAAATGAGTGGCCTAGAAAAATTTTTTAATATTAATATTTACCTTTCCTTTTATTAAAGCTTGTACAATTATCAATTGTGTTGCTCTGTGTACTTCTTGAACTTCACCTGGTATTGGATGACCCAATCCTGGATCAAACCAAACAAGATCTCCTTGTTGCCAATCCATAGTGAGATCCATATTTTCCATTCACTGTCAATTAGGTTTGATTCCGTGAAAAAAAAAATTTTTCAATTTTTTTTTTTGTTTTGTTTTTATTTTTTTAACTTAATTTTAATTTTTAACTCATAATGAATGGTCAGTGGTATTGTGAATTTCTAAAAGAAAAAAAAAAAGAAAAAAATTATTTTAGAGAAATTTTTTTTTTTATAATAATATTGAAAAAACGTTAAGTACTTGAATTTTATGAATAAAAATAATGGTAATAATTTAAGTAATAGTTAAAATTAAAAGTTAAAAATACAAGTATCTACACAAGTACTCTTTAATGTTAAAGGAAATAACGAAAGAAAGGAAAAAGGAAAACATAAAAGAAAATGTAAAATATATCTTTTTTATTGCGTTGCATTACGTAAGACCTGCCTCAATGCATAAAAATGTTGTTCATATTTATGCTAGAGACACACAGGCACACATATGCATACATGTACAACCTTTATAGGTGTAATGTTATAGACGCAATCACAAAAAATTTGAATAGAGCTTGAAATTAACTTGTTGCTTTTTTTTTTAATCTTTTAATTACTCAATGGCAGTTTTTTTTTTCTTTTTTTGTAGATTTGTAAAATAAAATTTATTATAAAATTTACTTTGCAGTTTGATTTTGTCAATCTGTTCTCCACCTGAGTATTTGTTGTTTTATTTTAAATTTTAAACAAATATTTTAAAAAGAATACCTAGGTAATAACCAGAAATAAGTAGGTGACGAACATTTTAAAATTGTTGATCATTTCCACGTTTAATGCTGAGTCAGATTTTATTAAATAGCGAAGTGGCCAAGTTTTAAATGTTATCACTTTTTCGTAAATATATCAAAACTAGGCTAAAGTTAATTTATAAAGCTTAAAGAATTTCATGATACTTTTCAAAAGGGTCTTCAAAAAAAAAATTAAAACCCAAATTATAAGAAGTAAGTAAAAGTATTTGTCACTTCTTCGACAAATTGAAATTTATTATTTATTATTTAATAAAATTTGGGAATTTTATTCTCAAAAAGTTAAAATTTAAATATTTTATTGCAACCATTTCATCTAATTATTGTTTATATTTAAATTTTTGCAATGCAAGATGTTCATATAGTCTCCATGACCTTAACAATTTGAATTGATACTATATTGCTAGACAATTTAGTAATTATAGGTCATAAGCTGAATCGTGTATATGTGTCATATATGATTCTATCAGAGTCAATTTAGGCACAATGTTATTCTATTATTCTTATACAGTGTTAAATTCAATTACAGGAAATGTGCTTCCTATGTACACAACCACATTATTTTTTCTCTAAACTTTAAAATTATAACAATATGTACTCATTTAATGAAAATACGAGCACATTCATTTTGAATCAATAATAATTGTACGTGTACCTACTCTATTACAGCAAAATAGGAAAAATTGTTTAGGTTTTATAAGGGTACCTTTTGTATTTTATATACAATATATATTTTTTAAAGTAAAAAAATGAACTGTTATTTACCCCTAAAGGGAGAATTTCTAACATGTATAGCGTTACATAGGAGTGGTCCTAAAGGCGAAACTTTTATTTTCTTTTTTAAAACCAAAAAAAAAAAAATTACTTTCTTATTGTATGCACGTGCATATGTAGGCATGTATGTATATACATTTATTCCCGTATTATGAAATGTTTTGAAATCTTTTGAATAAATTGTACAATATTTTAAAAGCTGTAGGCGATAATTACCAATTACTTACTCATCTATCAATGTTGTAAAACATACGAATATAGATATAATACGAAATTGTTCGAATTATATAAAAACATTGTGTCTGAAATTAGTGGAACCAAGTAGTACAAGAACTGTATGCACATATAGATTGTAAATTTTTGAATATTTAAGAGTGTATGAAATGTAATTAACTGTACGTATATTATATGAATAATTTTCTTATGCAAATCACTAATCATGTTTGCAATTGTATAAGGTACAAATAAAATTAAATTTTAATTGAAAAATTTTATTATTTTTATTTTGTCATCTTGAAAATTTTATTGTTTTCAAAATACGAAACGAAAATCGAATCTTTATTAGAAATAAGTATCAAAATTTTATTCCATGCTATCGTTTTGGGTCGATATTGGTAAACTGAGAAAAAATGAATCAAAAGTGTAATTTAAATATGCTAAATTAAATCTCTTTTCGTCCGAAAACTGTTCCAAAATTTAGAAACTGCTGAAATAAACTATTCCTTATAAGAACTTTTTAAACGTTAAGTGTATGTATGTCAAAATTTCATACATTTTTTTTCTGGGTCAATTTATGAATTATTAAATATCGGAAAATAATTTAAAATGCAAAAAAATTTTTTTTAATTTATGAAATAAATTAAGCCAAAATTGAATTTTTTAGCAGTTTTGTTTTTTGTGCTCAGATAATTTTTTAAGAGAAGTATATTTTAATTTGAAAGCTTGACAGTTTTTATTTTTATTTTTAATAGAAGATTAATCATTTGCTTCTGTAACATCGTTCCGCTTCTTCTTAGTCTCTACCTTACTCTTTTAAATTCCCAAAGAAAATTCATAACATTTAGTTCTTCAAATGGCAAAGTATTCTTTAACAATGCTTTTGTAAAATATTTTTCAGTGTTTAATTAAATTTAGCAAATTTAAATACAAATTAATTAACAATAATTTAATAACCCAACTATATTTCATGTATAGTTAGTTTTTTAAAATTTTAGGCAATTTCTTACTAAATTTCCTTAAAAATTCCTATTAGAACACTATAAATGCACAAAATGTTGATTTTCTAGTTGGTCTGTTCAAAAAGGCAATAAATAATAATTTTTTAACGAAATCTCGGTGAAATAAGCCAATAATTTTTGTTTCTTTAAATACAAAACTAAGCAACTATTGATTCTTTAGTGAAATTTCTTTTAAAATTTTTTTCCTCTATCACAATAATTTTTTAAAAATAATTTACTGTCTAAATATTTCACAAAAGATTTGAAATTTTATTTGATTTGAATTTCAATAAAATTATAATAGAAAGTAGAAAATAAATATAAAGAGCGTTCACAAAAATATTTAACACGAATTTTTAATATAAAAATAAAATATGTTAAAAAAAAAATAGAAGAAAAAAAAAACAATTTAACTGGAATTTAACAATTTGTATTCTAACGACACTCTGGTTAAAATAGACACCAAAAAAAAGTAAAAAAATAGAAATGAATAAAAAGTCATTTGAATGCAAATTTTTTTTGAAGCTTTTTGTATATGAAGATGAAAAGAAACCATATACAGAATGTCTATGCTAATTGATTATATAAAGGCATCATGTACAATGTGCACACATAGTCACTTCATTTTCAAATTCACGTTTAAAGAGAAATGTTGCAAACATTAATAAAAACCAAAAATGTTTGGTAGTTAAAATAAAAACTATGGTATACGTGACAATTTAATAAATTTCGAAAATTAAAAAAAAATTTATTTCATCTGATCTGGAGCTCATTCTCTTAAACGATAATTTTTAAAGTTGATTACCTTGCAATCTTAAATGTAAAAATTTACATAATATAAGTTATTTTTAATTTAATAATTTTTTCATAATCTCTAATTCTACCCTGCTGAAGAAGCAATTTCAAATAAATTTTAGGAAACTAATTACTATTTTTAAATCCATTTTCTGACTATGTGGAACGTACTGTAGATTTTAGCCATTGAACGAAAAAAAAGTCGACAAGTACTCTGCTCCTACCCTATATATAATTTTTATGTGTTTTCTTACTCAAAAGCAAACTATCTTGGACATCCCATAATACAAAAACGGTTGGTATAAAGAAACTCGAAAAACATACTGTTTTTGCTTATTCATCGTTTACTACTTCAACCCATCCCACATATAATGCAAAACGCCTGCCTACAAATTTTGTCTATCAAAAGAATTTCACACTATTTGTGAGATTACCGACAAGTAGCTTTGCACTCTACCCAACATATTTGTATATATATGCTGATCATACTAAAAGGTAACATATTAATGGCTTGTACACTACCAAACGGACAACAGATACATTCCCATCGCATTTAAGTATATCTAGTTTTTTTTAAACACACGTAGTTTTTAATAAAAAGTCTTGGCAGGATGCAATCCCATTAATTAGCTAAACCATTCAACTATCTCATCCTTCCTGTTACATAGTTTTAAGACGAAATTTTTCTGTTATTTTATTTGTATGTCTACCTATTGAATCCATGGAACGCTGGAAATGGAATATACGCTCACGGAAATTAAATGAACGCTTTAAACTCTGGAATCGAATATACATAGCTCGATTCAAAAACTTTTATATTCTCTTACACACATGTCTAATATTAGAATTGTCGCTCTATATCAGTGATATGCATCGTGCTTTAAGTCTCAAGCACCTTCATTACATCAGTACGGTAGACTTCTACTGCCAAACTACAAAAATGAGCCCACTTTTAAGGAAAATTTCAGAAACTACGGCGTGCTGGATATGAAAAAATTTTACGTTATATCATATTTTTTTAACATTTTAATTCGTTTTTTGACTGAGACAGAAATTCTTATAAAAGACTTTAATGTTTACAACTAACTCTCTTAATAAAAAATCTTATGATCAATATTAGCTATGTTTCAAATACTCGTAATATTATAACTAATAAATGAATAAAAATAATAAAATTAAATTAAAAATTTTATTAATCCAATTTATTCTAATTATTTTCATGATTTCTTAATCAGTTTTTTATTACTAAAAATTTAAATGAAAATTTCACTTTTTTTGTAAAATTATCTAAATTAAATTATGCATATTTGTTATTTATATAAAAAATGTTTATATTTATTTTTGTGATTACAAAATTGCATTTTTAATGATAAATTTTATCTTTTCTAAAAGATTAAAAACATGCAATCAAATTTATTATTTTCCAAAAGTGTAAATATGTTTAAAGTGAGAAATGAATTAAGGTCAGTGATTTTTGAAATCTAAAACAATTAGCAAATTGTTAATTTTTTCATATTTAAAAATAAATTAAATTTACAAAAAAAAAACCAACATGTAGACTGTCAATTTCAGAAAAAAAAATATAAATAATTTTTTA